ATGTATAAAAAGTTTTGCTTACAAAGTGTAACATTTATTAAAAAAATTAACACCTTAGATTTTTGATTGAGGGAGTATCCAGTTGTCTTAGGGAATCAAAAAGGGATTGTTTCTTTGCTGGAGAAAAGTGGGTCATGTAGGATTTTGTCGCCTTTCTTTGGATCATTTGTGGGTCTAGGATTCAAAGGATACAAGTTTTTAAAATGTATGTAAAAGAGAAAGTTTTTCTTTTGAGTGGATTGGGGAAGGGTTGTTCCCTCCTGTCAAGATTTCTTTGCTGTTGTTGAACCTCTTGGGAAGATGTTTGTTTTGGTGACATTCGTCACTAAGACAAAAAGTAAAAGGGAAAATCCAAAATTTAGAGTTGTCATTAGAGCAAGAGTAAGACTAAATCTGCCAGTGGAGACATCTGTTTCACTGACAGCTTTCTAAGATGGAATTAAAGCTGGCCATAGAAGGGGACCAGCCTAGATTCAAACCATGTATGGGCAGGCTGAATATACCCAAGTTGATTGATCGATAAACTTTGGTGCAACCAGCCTGCTGGATTTTACATGCGATTATTGTTAGTGGCTGTTATACAATGACTCCATGGGAGGGATTCCACACTTCACACTGACTGTGGTTGCAGGAAAGAAAATCGTTACGTCTTTTGCTGGCTTTACTCTCATTTCCTCTGAATGAGATTTCCTCTTTCATCAGAAAGTTAAAAAAGAAACCTCTGGACGAAGACAGCAATAAATAATGTGTTAGGGGATTAATTCTTCCCTGTTCTATCTAAAACTTTTTTAAAAATTAGCTACATTCACATAAATGTATTTGTTTGTGTCTTATGGTTCAACCCAAACGACCTGTGTCTTTTTACAACTTGAATCACTTTGTAACTATATAGATCTTATGTAGTGAATTTAAAAAAAGAACAATGTATGTGAGACAAACATAAATGATGATTTTGTATAGAATGCAATATGAGCACACATCTATAACTCTGCATTCCAGTAGTTACACTATAGCCCTTCGCAATCATTTCAGCTCTTCATGCTGCCATATTGTATACATCTGCTGGTGTTGGATCTCAAGCAGTTCAGGAAAAGGTTTTCAATTCTATAGAATTGACATTGAGTTGCAGCTGGCAAAATGAGGCAATTACATCAGCAGACTGACAGCTGTGTAGAAGAGAAGAGTCCATTATTAAAGCACCATGACACATCTAAAACACTGATTTGCAGATAGTATAATGTGGAAGAGCAGGGGATATCGGCAAGTTGTCTATTACCGCTACATACTGAATTGCTGATATTGCTGCGTTTCGCTATATGTGATGCAGTTTCACAGCGGAGTGAACTGGCCGGTGGGGTAAGCATTACTTATTATGACAGCAGGTACTTTGTTCGTCCCTCGGAAATAGCCAACCCCCTGATGAAAATGATAATGCCCCATTCAGAATGGACTATACTACTCAATGTCACTGATTGCAAGCACCTTCTAATTGGCTTTCATCTCCTCTATCTATACTTAGTCATGTGGTAGTTCAGACTTAATAATAACTAGAAAAGTATTTGGTGTCAGTTCAGTTCACTGAAAATCTTAATAGCAATAGTCTGTACTGCTATTCAATACACAATGCTGGAGTGGCACCGTTATTGTCTTGGAGTAAAGTGTGCAGTACACTTAGACTTAAGGTGTCAGGAACTGATGTTCCTCCGTCTTCTCTGTACGCAGCTGACCCAGGGGTGGACTGACCATTTGAGCACTCGGGCACTGCCCGAGGGCCCGGGGTCTGTAGGGGGCCCCATGAGATGCCCCTGGCACCTTTCATTGTCTTTTTCATAGGCTTTTTTGGATGTGGGCGAGGACGCAGGGGCCCCATGATCCCCTATTGCCGAAGGGCCCCATGAGTTGTCAGTCCGCCCTTGAGCTGACCCAACCACATACAGTCCTGGGCTCCTCTGAGAAACAGTAAGCAGTGGGGGGGGGGGGGGGCTTTAGAGCAATGTAAAAGGGATCAGGCAGATTTATTTTTACAGTAAAGCCATTCTCTGGCTGAAAAAAATGTATTCCAGGATCATTGCAGCCATGGTTCTGGTATCAAGTGGTAGTAAACTCTGACCCTAGAATGCTCCTTCTTAATACAGGCAGTTAAAATAAAGCGTTTGAAAACATTCTGCATTAATATGAAGCCCCTTTGCATTTCTCTTGCTTTACTTTCAAGTGCTTTCTAAAATGTTATGCTTGAAAGTATGGTTCTTGCCTATTAAATGGTGTTTTACAATATCTGCACTATGAGAGGTGTATTTTTTGTTTTCATGTGATCATACAGTATATGTGCACCTTGTATTCGCCATTCATCTGAGGAGCGGTTTGAGTTACTAGCTCCTGGACTGGTGTGGAGGATCGCCTTTTTGGTTTATTGGCCAAATCATTTGGTCGCTCTAAATAATGGGGTCAGTGTATTTGTTAAGCCCACACCTTGCTCTCATGGTGCTGTTGGGTGACACTGGTGATAATAAGAAGGTAACAATTTTGGAATGTTCACTTTTCAAGGGGTCTGTCATATAGCTTTCACTTTTGGACAATTTTCTGTTTGTTTTCTTTGGGATGCTTTCGTCACTGGATTATTAGGTTTAGGTTTATTTTTTTCACTTTAATCAAAGTATTTGTTTATATATATAATTGTCTGTATATTATATTTTTGTTCTATTTATTTGCAATATCACATTGTTTAGTTGATATCAGATATTTTGTGCACATATGCATTAGCGCAACACTTAATAATTCATTGTTTATGGGAGAGAATTTACCTCTTTGGTGTTTGCTGCTCATTTTTACTTTTATGTTTGCACATTATTGCATGGTTTACATTCTTATTTTAGTTATCACAAGAGATGTAGTTCATCCCTTGTGATAGCCATAAAAGTGATACAAAAATACAATAAAGAGACATTCTAAAAAACAAATTTACCTATTCTACCCTCAACACTCCTCGGCGTGCTGGAGACAGTGCGGAGACATAGGATCAATTCTCCATATACTCTGGACATGCAAGTCTATCAGATCTTATTGGAACAGTGTGTTCCACTTGATCTCCACACTACCCGATTATTCAGTGACTCCTGACCCTGCCCTTGCATTACTTCACATAGGAATTGATCAGTTCTCAAGTGATTCCCGTACGGTTATCGTCCACACACTGGCAGCAGCAAAAATTAATATTACCAGATTGTGGAACTCCACTGAAATTCCCTCTATTGCATCGCTGATAGCGGACCTCAACATCCAATGTGATATGGAGAGAAGATCGACCCTTAATAACTTCTCTTACCATAAGTTCCAATTCCAATGGGCTAGGTGGCTACGCAACCCGAACTGTTCTGTATCCAGTTGATGACTTAATTGTACGAAACTCAAACTGTCTGAACTTCTGTACTAGACTGGCATGGTAGTATTCCCCCCCCCATCTCCCCTTAACCCCTTCATTACCTCCTTTCCTTCCCTGTTATCCCCCTTGTTTATATTGACTGTATAAAGAATTGCGGTTCTGTAACCCAATAATCCTCTCAGGTTAAGTTGACTAATGTTAGTTATTTCCCCAGCCAAATGGTGGGGTTCCTATGTTGTATATTCTTTGTGTAAAGTTTAAACTGATGCTTGAACCATTGCTTGTTACCATGTAATATCTGAAATATTCAATAAAAACATTTGAATATAAAAAAACAAATTAAAAAAGTAAATAAAATAAACAATAGCATTTCCGAAAATGTTAAAGCTCCCCTGTTTCCCCCCCATGACATGTAAGATATATATTTACTCAGCATAACATCATCTTTTATATTTTACCAAACAGTTGATTATTATATTTGTGCATGAAACTTCATTGAAGTGTATTTTTTCCAAAAACAAATTGCAACAACCCCCATTTTATTCTCTAGGAACTCTGCCTAAAAAAATGATAATGTTTGGGGTTTTAAAGCAAAATACACAGATTTTTACATGTAGGAGGGGAATGTCTGAATTGGCCCGGGGTTCAAGAGGTTAAGAAACACATTGGTGTTGGAAAACAAGCCTTAAAGTGGAACGTAATTGTCTGTGCCCAGAGGCGGACTGACCATTTGGAAACTCGGGCACTGCCCGAGGGCCCGGGGTCAGTAGGGGTCCCATGAGATGCCCCTGGTACCTTTTTCATAGGCTTTTTTGAGTTTGGGCAAGGACACAGGGGCCCCATGATCCCCTATTGCCCGGGGGCCCCATGAGTTGTCAGTCCGCCCCTGTCTGTGCCTGAGCACCACATACTTAAAATGCTATTTAATTAATTTTTAATATTCAAAGCAAATTCCACCCATCCATCCATGTCTTTATTTTGTTGAGAAACCACTTTGAAAAACACCCCCTAGTATTTCTAGCCATGGCCATCTTAAGTAAGGGCAGATAATTTATGTAGCATTTACAAGAAAATGCCCATAAAGACACCTGGGATATATGATATAATTAGAGATGAGCGAATTATTCAAAAATTCGATTCTGCTGATTCGCCGAATTTGTGGAATAAATTTGATTCGATGCGAATTTATTCGCTGCGAATTTAACTTATAAAAAGGGTTTCTAGGCTTCAGAGAGCCTTTATATTAGTGCAGAACACTGTACCTTTAATTTAAATGCCCTTGGAGCCTGCTGGGGAAGAGAAATAATACTGTCAGTCAGTATGACATGCAGATGAGTGCCGTCGATCTTAGAATCACCGCACACTTCACTCATTTGGGCAGTCACGGGGCCAAAACCAGAGTGTGGAGCCACAGTGTGGCGGTGGAGGCAGCAGCAATGGGAGGCCATACAGCACCCTATGACAAAATGGAACCCACCAGCAGTGTGAGGAGACCTGAAAGTGGCACATGGCAGAGTGTGGCGATGGAGACAGCAGCAATGGGAGGCCGTACAGGGACCCATGACACACTCTGGACCTGGCAGCAGCATGAGGAGGCGGTACAGGGGCCCATGGCAAGAAGAAGAAGAAGAAGAAGAAGAAGAGGATGAGGATGAGGATGAAGAAGAAGAAGAAGAAGTAGGATGAGGATGAAGAAGAAGAAGAAGAAGAAGTAGGATGAGGATGAAGAAGAAGAAGAAGTAGGATGAGGATGAAGAAGAAGAAGAAGAAGAAGTAGGATGAGGATGAAGAAGAAGAAGAAGAAGAAGAAGAAGTAGGATGAGGAAGAGAAGAAGAAGAAGAAGAAGAAGAAGTAGGATGAGGATGAAGAAGAAGAAGTAGGATGAGGATGAAGAAGAAGAAGTAGGATGAGGATGAAGAAGAAGAAGAAGAAGTAGGATGAGGATGAAGAAGAAGAAGAAGAAGAAGAAGAAGAAGAAGTAGGATGAGGATGAAGAAGAAGAAGTAGGATGAGGATGAAGAAGAAGAAGAAGAAGAAGTAGGATGAGGATGAAGAAGAAGAAGTAGGATGAGGATGATGAAGAAGAAGAAGAAGTAGGATGAGGATGAAGAAGAAGAAGAAGAAGTAGGATGAGATGAAGAAGAAGAAGAAGTAGGATGAGGATGAAGAAGAAGAAGAAGTAGGATGAGGATGAAGAAGAAAGGGAAGAAGAAGAAGAAGAAGTAGGATGAGGATGAAGAAGAAGAAGAAGTAGGATGAGGATGAAGAAGAAGAAGAAGTAGGATGAGGATGAAGAAGAAGAAGAAGAAGTAGGATGAGGATGAAGAAGAAGAAGAAGTAGGATGAGGATGAAGAAGAAGAATAAGAAGAAGAAGTAGGATGAGGATGAAGAAGAAGAATAAGAAGAAGAAGTAGGATGAGGATGAAGAAGAAGAAGAAGAAGGATGAGGATGAAGAAGAAGAAGAAGTAGGATGAGGATGAAGAAGAAGAAGAAGAAGAAGAAGAAGTAGGATGAGGATGAATGAAGAAGAAGAAGAAGTAGGATGAGGATGAAGAAGAAGAAGAAGTAGGATGAGGATGAAGAAGAAGAAGAAGAAGTAGGATGAGGATGAAGAAGAAGAAGAAGAAGAAGAAGAAGAAGTAGGATGAGGATGAAGAAGAAGAAGAAGAAGTAGGATGAGGATGAAGAAGAAGAAGAAGAAGAAGAAGTAGGATGAGGATGAAGAAGAGGAAGAAGTAGGATGAGGATGAAGAAGAAGAAGAAGAAGGATGAGGATGAAGAAGAAGAAGTAGGATGAGCATGAAGAAGAAGAAGAAGAAGAAGTAGGATGAGGATGAAGAAGAATTCCATTCCAGCAAAAAGTGTATCTGCAGAGAGCTCCGCTATTTCTGACAGTTCTCTGACAGTTCCTTCACATTTACAGCGGTTGAAACATTGTATCTATTTGTTTCCGAATAAAAACATCTGTGTCCTAAATGGAAACAAATAGATACAATGTTTCAACTGCTGTAAATGTGAAGGAACTGTCAGAGAACTGTCAGAAATAGCGGAGCTCTCTGCAGGGACACTTTTTGCCGGCTGTAGAAGGGATGAAAATCAGCGGATCGGGGGAAAATTCGATTCGTGCATCCGAAGTTTGCTAATATTCGGATTCGACGCGAATCGAATTTTTCCTAATATTCGAAACGAATTCCACTTCGCCAGGTTCGATTCGCTCATCTCTAGATATAATTTTGGCTTAAAATGTTACTAGACCCACAACAGTAAAATCAGTCTGTATATGCAGTAAAGCATGCTTCTAATACTTACTGTGGAACCTAAGGGGTCAATGCTCTGCACTTTGTAAAAAGGATGTTTGATCCTGTTTTCTCTGCCCCTCCTCTTGTTCAAATGTCCACTTGATAAGACAGACTGAACCCGTAGCCACATGCACATGCTCAGTTTAGTGTGTATTGCTACAGAGGTTTTTTTTTTTTTTCGTTTTTTTTTTTTTTAGGAGAGTGCATGTGATCAGCACAGGGCCAATCAGGACTGTCCAGACAGAGGGTCAGGGGTCCTACATCCTCCTATAGCAGAAAGAAAACTCAGTTTCAGTGATTGTCTGGGGAAGCATATCCATCGAGGGACGCACAGACCTCTACAGGCTAGACAATGGCACCCTGGCTGCAATTAGGTATCAGGATGAAATCCTTGGACCCATTACACTGGTGCAGTGGGTACTGGGTTTCTCCTGGTGCACAACATTGCCCGGCCTTATGTGGTGAGAGTATGCACGCAGTTCCTGAAGGATGAAGGAAGTGATACCATTGAATGGCCCCCACACTCGCCTGACCTAAATCCAATAGAACACCTCTGGGATATTGTGTTTTGGTTCATCTGACGCTGCCAGGTTGACTGTCCAGGAGCTCAGTGATGCCCTGGTCCAGATCTGGGAGGAAATACCCCAGGGTACCATCCGTCATCTCATTAGGAGCATGCCCGGTGTTGTCAGGCATGCATACAAGCACGTGGGGGCCATACAAACTACTGAGTACCATTTTGAGTTACTGCAATGAAATTTCAGCAAAATGGACTAGCCTGCTGCATCATTTTTTCACTTTGATGTTTGGGGTGTCTTTAAATTTGGGCCTCTGTAGGTTGATAATTTTCATTTCCATCAAATGACGGGGCATCCTTATGTTCCTAACACATTACCCAGTCCACATCAGTATAGGTATCCAGCACGACATTTGTAGATTTTTCTTAATTGAGATCTGACATGTTTTCAAAGTGTTCCTTTAATTTTTTTGAGAACTGTATATGTGTATACATATAACACATTAACAAGTCCATATCAGTATAGATATCCAGCATGAGATTTTTCCCCATTGAGATCTGATGTGTTTTCAAAGTGTTCCTTTTTTCTGAGCAGTATATAAATTCCTATCTATTTACTAATGCTAGCAGCATAAGGCCTAAAATAGATAATGTTGATTGAGATGTTACTTTTTCCTTAAAATGATCACAACAGGTGTGCAGACCAAAAGAACTCAAGGACAGATAGGTGGATTATATTGACTTGTCAAAAGCAAAATGGACTAAGCATTGTGATGACCTTTATCTCCTTAGTTTAGGTGAAACTATGCAGCAAACAAATTTAATGCAGCAAATGTGAAAAAGGAATACATATGAGTAAAGATTGATTAGGGAACTACACACATTTTTAATATAACTTTACCATTTGTTGTTGAATATAAATACATGAAATGGAGGTTTTTATATTTAGAGTTTTTTTTTTAGTAACCACAAGTTGCTATGAGAAATTATTTGACCCAACCAGCAGGATTCTATTTTTTACATTTTCTCTGTAAGGTTTCATCCTGCCTCGGATTATACTCTTTTCTATCTAGAATGTTCTAATTTTAGTCAGATAATCATAAAAGGCCAGAGAGAGAATTGCAAATTTCACATGACTATTCCAGCTGTAGGGAATGACAGTTTAAAAAGTGAGGTTGGAAAATCAGTATGTCAGCTGTTAATGACACACTGCCCATCAAAAGAATGTGTCATTTAATTAAAACTGGATGTTTTAATCTTGTAACATTTGAAGCAAGATTTAAAGTGCAGACTACATGGATCTGACTCACCACATCTAAGGCACATGCTAGAAACATGAAAGAAGATTGTATCCTTCTGGTATTAATTTAGCATTCATGATGAGCACATATACAATCACTATTAGGTACACCTGTTCAATTGCTTGACAGCACAAAATTGCTAATCAGCCAATCACATAGCAGCAACTCAATGCATTTAGGCATCTAGATGTGGCAAAGACGACTTGCTGAAGTTCAAACTGAGCATCAGAATGGGGAAGAAAGGGGGTTTAGGTGATTTTGAACTTGGCATGGTTGTTGGCTGGTCTGAGTATTTAAAAATGTCAAAAAGTGACACTAAATACACTAAAATCACGCAATATAACATTACTGCATATCAACGCATTTCACATACATTTCCTGTCCCGAGTGCTTTGTCCTGCAGTGCCCTGCCTGCATCTGTCTTCCGGGTTTTTTACGACGTCGGGACGTACGGGGGCCGTAACCGTCGGGAAATTTAAAAATGTAAAAAAGTGACATTCCTAAATACATCACGCAATATAACATTACTATATCAAAGAATTTCACATACATTTTGTCCCGAGTGCTTTGTCCTGTGCCCTGCCTGCATTTTTACTGTTCTTTCTGCCTGTAAACTGAGAAATGTCCATGGCATCCAAAAAGCGTCCCTTTAGGTCAAAATTGGTTTTAGACCAGCTAGAGAACAGCGATAGTAAATTAGAACCATTTGCAGAATTGAGTGATAATGATTTGTGGGGAAATTCGTCATCAGACACTGAAAATGATTTTGCGACTTTGCTCTGCGATGTGCGAACTTGGCGCTATATTTCAAATTTCAGTGTTTTTGGTTTGATTACATTATTGAATTCAATTTATTATTATTATTATATTATTATTTTTTATGATTATTTATTAAATTATAATTTATGATTTCATGTTTCAAATTTTATCATACTCAGGATGTTTACTAGACTCTTGTTTGGACAGATTTCAGTGAGTTATTCCTAAAAATTACAGGCCTACAATAAAAAAACATATTTCCATGCAAAAAAATGTACCGCTTTGAGCACAGAAATACTGACATAATCAGACCGCTAGGGAGGCTATGGCAGTTCTGAAGGCAAAAGGGGGTCTAACCCGGTACTAGCAAAGTGTTCCTAATAAACTAGCCAGTGAGTGTATGTGTGCACATATTGCAAGGTACTAAGAAGTGTGTTTTGAGTGTGTTTTTGAATATACACCAACTAACTGGTGGTATGCTTGAATAAAAATTTGGTTTTTCTCTAATGTTTTAGGGTTCATTTAAATTGTTAGCTCACCTTATCAGAAAAAAATTAAAGGTGAACAAACACCATGCACCATACAACCCCCCCGTTACCACCGATCCTACACCGACCGTGTGGGCACTAACATCGTATCACCGATTGGTGGCAAGTACAGGAGGACAGGGAGGGTGTAGGATGTTAATTCATCTTTTTTTTTCTGAAAAATGAACAATTTAACCTGTGTTAACAAATTTTACATGTGCATGTTGTGATGCCCTGCCACTGTATGAAAAGGGCTTTGTGTCACTGAATGTTCTCATCAGGCAGGTTCAGGGTTTCCAGGGTGCTTGTGAATTCTCAGTTTCCTCAGAGATTTGTTAAACCTGGGTTGGGACCTGAAATCTGGAGGTTTCACAGAGACTTGAGAGGGATGAGGTCTCCAATTCTGGGTCCAGGTGCAACATACATTACAATAATGGGACTGCACCATACACAGTGAATATTACATTATGATTTGCTAGATATTGTAGCACCCTCTAATATGCTACTAGGGTAGTGTAGGTAAATGTATTGTGTATGACTCATGGTACCTGTGTGAGTCTGTGATTAGGTCGGGTTACTGCAGGTCAGGCTGGATGACTTAACAGGTGTGGACTCTATTGCCTCCACCTGGTTTCTGGAGGACCATGGAAGCTTCCAGAATCCAGTGGGTGGAAGAGGTGAAAACCTAATTTGCCTGTTTATGGGAGTGTAACCAATCTGAGGTTTGGAGGTCCTGGTATAGTGGTGAGGCCAGCCCATAAATATGTGAGTCTGGCCCCAAAGCTGGGCTTGGGCTGGCCCAAGAGGATTCGTTCAGCATCACAGTATGAACAGGATCAAGACCTGAGAGCAGTGGGAGCAAGTGTGAGTACATCAGCACACCTAGGGATTTACAAGGGGAAAGGCTGCCACGTATAGCAAACTTGCAAAGGGCAGAGCTGTGCTTAACCCTTTAACATTGTCCTAGGAGATCTTCAGAGCAGCCAGGAGGACTGGTAGTGTCTGAAGGCTGTGGAACTGGGAGCAGTTCTAGAGGGGAGAGGAGATCTCTCTGTACGTAGTTGCAAGCTAAGCTAACTTTTAGAGGGGACAGTTGTTACTGATCCATAATGACTGACCACCTTCAAGGAAAAGAACAGTCCAGGATCTGTTTCTGTATATATGGAGGAAGTTGACCCTTTGCATTGATTCAGTCAAGGTAGGCATCCCATAACCCCTATTATCCTATCCAAGTTATATTCCCTAATAAATAACAAAAACCAAGCTCATGGACTGTTTACTGACTGTGGATGCAAGTGTGATAAAATGTGTGTTGCCTGGCTGTGCAAAGCTTAGAGGGTAGTGCTGCAATATGTTTAAGGATGGTGTGCTATACATGCATGTACCTAGGTGCTCTTGTGACACCACAATGCAAGAGTACTGTACCAGAGTGGCCATATACTCATCATGCTCAGATGCAGGAGCAGGTCCCTTTAACTCTATTTCCCACTGCTCCTGTTCCTGCACACACCCAGGGAAGATAAGTTCCTCAGGGCAAGTGTTCTACAACCAGGTGA